CTCCTTCTCAAAAAGCAACTTTTTTCCTATTTTTTTTTCTATGAGAAATTACAAATGAGGGCGCTAAAGACAGATGCTTGTTTAAAGACTTTTGGTAATACAGGAAGAGTATGTATATTTGCTTTTCAGCAGAAAACTGCCATGATGGTAAAATAACCGTTAGCTGGGAACTGTTGTGATCCAGGTCACTTATGTGATTCAAAGCAGCTTGTCTTGAAAAGTACCGAACGCCGGCTGTGTTGTGGAATTGGCTGCAGTGATTCCATTTTTGATGAGTATCTCTATTTCAAGGCACATCCTTTTGTGAACGTGGATCGTACCGTGCTTCCCTCTGCCTGCGTGTACGAACATTAACAGCCATTTCTTGGCTGAAATGTGTATAACTCTGTTGCTCGCCCGACGATATAATTTCTCTTCCTCAACAGGCCAGAAAGGATATTTAAGTGAAACTCATGTGGAAGACATAACTCTAAAAGTTCATTTGGTGAAGAACACACCAGAAAGGGAAGGTCTTTCCATGAGTGCTTGCTTTGGGTTTGACACTGGTGGCTTTGAGCTGTAGCTGTACTGAGCATTCCCGTTTTCAGCAACGCCGTGAAGCAAGAGCCATTCCTTTTTTTTTTTTTTAAGACATTTATAAGCACTAAGTACATTCCTCTGTACTTTACGAACACACTTTGGGGAATTTCTGTAGAGCTGCAGGATAAAAATTGAATATTTTATGCGAGTCCCGTGCTGCAATCTAGTCTGAAAAAAAAAAACAAAAAAAAACCAACAAACTTTTGAAACCCAAAATAAGGTTCTGAATCTTCCGCCTGGCTTGGTGTGGCGAGAGGACAAGGCCACTGCTATGGTGCCACTGCTCCCCGTTATCTCGCTGAAACAAGACAGATGAGTATATAACGAAAATATAAATAACCAGCAAGAACGTGGGGCGGCAAAGCGTGTGTCGGCTCTCCCACTTGGCCAATATTTCCCCCCACGTGGAACTTGCCCTTGGTCTCGATCAGCGTGGACCCAGCCGATCAGCTGCGCCTAACCGGCGCGTGTAAGGTAAAGCTGTCTGTATTAAGGTAAAGAATTTCACGCCACCCGTTCGCTGGATGAAAATATAACGTCTGATGTCGTGCTGGGGCTGTTTGGAGTAAAAAAATATATATATGCATATATACACTGTATGTAGAAAAGGGACCATAAATAAGACATCTTGCAGTGTGGAAGAAGTGCATTGTAGATTTTAGTATGGTAGGAAGGGAGGGTTGTACCATGTAATTAATGGTGCTGCTTGTATTTCAGCCCGTAATTGCTGTAACAGCGCTTATAAAGTGGTAACCTGGTTGAAGGCAGTTTCTAGGACGCAGGCAGAGCCCATGTCTACACATCTGGAGGACACAGTGGGGGGAAAAAAAAAAAATAGGGAGAGAAAGGTGCTAATGCCACCAGACTGTGAGCTCGAGCCTTGGTTTTCTTCGAGGAACAGGTTACGTGTGAGTGGTTCTTGTCTGTGATCTGCATGTAGACCATAACATATTGCCTTGCTGGTAGGAAACGATCATACTTAAGCCACCGGTTTCCTCACCTGGAATACCTTCGAAGGGCGGACCTCAGACCTACGCCGATAAGGTTGGCGATGGCAGCGTGAGCTGGATGTCCTGCCCTTCCCCGCAGGTGACGATTCCGTGTTCTCCCAGGCTTTGTACCCCTATCCCAAAGGCCGAGGAAGCCCCAACGGGGTTCACTCCCAGCCCCGTGATGTTGCTTCTGGTGGGTGAGGATGGGTGTTAGCTTATTCACTGCTTCTGTTTCACGTGGGGGGTGTCCCCAGCAAGGCTGTCTGCTCGGTAGGCGCTCCGCTTGCACGAGCGAAATAACACTCTGATGCTGAAGCATATTTTGATTTGGCTCTAACAGTTTACGTCTAAGGGCAAACAAGGAGAAATACAACATGAAAGGAAAGGATGGGGTGAGGCTGCGGTCCTCCAGCAGACTGACCACCGGTGGGGCTTCTGTGGGACTGGCTTGCAGTGGGAGCAGGAGCCTTTTCTGTATCTGAACAAAAATTTGCCTATGGAATATGCTTGAAACCAATCTTAAAAAAAAAAAAAAAAATAAATTTGGAAAAGTCCATTTAGCACTTCAGGTCTGGGCTTACCTTCTCATTTTTCCTCCCTCTCTGGTTCTGACATCAGGAAGGTTCTCCCTGGGGTTCCCAGAGTCCTTCGGATGTAGGAATTGCTTAAAAAAGCCCAGCTTTGGGGCCAGGTTTGGGGATTTGCAATAGAGTATATGTTGTTTCACCGCAAGGAATAGACGTGAAGTATAAAAATACAAGATTGCTATACACATGCTTGCTGTGCAAGAGAAGTTACTCATACATGTACATCATTTAACCCTATAAAATGCCCCCCCCTGAGTGCCAACTCCTGAGAGTAGCTCCATTTTCAGCCCCCTCGGAGTTCTGCGGCTCCAGACTTTGCGATGGTGCATCTCCAGCTCCCCTAATCCCCAAATCCAGGCTGTTTCCGTGTTCCGCCCCC